TGATGGTGGGAATAATAAGCCACCGAAACGTCGCATTGTAAAACATTTTTTGTTTAAAATAAATAAAAAGTTACGGTTATACAACTCATGAAGTTCGCTTTATTTATATATATATATATGCCAGCGTGAGGATTTTTCAGTTTTCAGAGCGTTGAGCGGCAGTTAACTTTTAAGTTCCTTGAGACAAAACTTCTGGGGTTTATAGTCCCCTAAGAGTACTTTTAAACTGTGAAGAAAAAATCGTTATACGTCAATTACTTTTCGCACAGCGAGGGGTCAAAGTGGGGGGAGGTTTAATTTTGTCCACGCGATAACTCGAATAAAAATGAATATTTTGAGCTGAAATTTTGATGGTAGTTAGTTATCTACTAAGGCTGGTTTCCTATTGAATTTCAGCGAAATCGGCCAACGCGTTCCATAATAGTGGCAATTTACCGTTTTTACGGGTAAGGGGGAGGGGGTATGAGTTGCGCAGCCAAGGGGAACTGTTTCTTGAAACTTTTTTGTGGCAAGAGGGGTAGGGTAAATGATTTCACTCCCCAATGTGACACTACCCTTCGGAAAATACACTCATGCCGCGGTAAATGCGCGGACTACAAAAAGAACCGTCCCCTACTTGCCGGCAACCCTACGGAAAAACCCTGCCGCTTGCGGCAGGGTTTTTTTACTATTTTTACGGCAAATCAATTGATCTTCAGGATTGAAATAGGTCATTTTCGATTCACGAATGAAGAAATGCACGTGACAAATATTTCTTGATTTCAGTATTTTCAGCATTTTTGAGACAATGAAGTTCAACCATGTCCGGTGCCTTATTCATTCTTGAATAGAAAAAAAGACAGTTTGAATCCAAAAAATTCACCCGTCTGCCATAAAAAAATTGAAAAAAAATGTGCGTGAATACCAGACGGATATATAACTTAAACAATGATTTTCTAAGTTGAAATGTGTAGGAATCCAGGTGTTTAAGTCAATGATAACCATGGGTGGAAGGAGGGGCTTTGGGGGGATAAAATTCGGATTCCTTGGGATCAATTTCCCTTTAATTACTACCATTTCCGACTTCGTCCAAACTAAATTAACTGCGAAAATAGCCTTATACGGGTGGTCTTGGACACCCTGTATTTTTCTAAAGAGGTGCGTTTTTACACTCATAACAATCGTATCATCTCTTACTGTCGAAGTTCTCTTCATTTTCACTAATTATTTGTGCTTACATTTATTTTTAAGTTGTATTTTGTTGAATTCGTAATTTTCCGCCGATCATTGATCAATCGGTGTGCCGAACCTCATCGGTCATCTACCCCTATAAACAACACTAAGCAATAAGTTATATCCGCTCATGATCGCAGCCAGATGAGTTATATAAATTATTGAATAGAAATCAAATTGTATGAATATTTTAAATGAATAAAAGTGCCTCTGTATAGGCTTTGATAAACTGGTTTTTTTATTGTGTTACATCAACATGGTAGCAGAGCGTGGTTGTTAAATTCGTGTCCGAAAATTCGCCGGTCCGACCTACGGTCGGTCATTGACCTTAAATTTATAACCTTAAAGTGTCCTCGTGAACCTTGTGTTGAAACTATTGTATTTTTGTTTCCTCACCTAAATTATGGCTGATGAAGATTTCAAATTGAAAATTTCCGTATTTGATGACAGTCAAAAAGACTACGACGGATGGAGGTACCGTCTCGAACTACTCTTAAAACTCAAAGAGTGCTACGAAGCTGTGGACCCCGACATCATTGAAATTCCCGAAGATATCGAAGAGGAAGATTGGGTCAGAATGGAAATAAAAGCCCGAAACTATTTGGCAAATGCCGTATCCAATTCAGTCCTTGACCTTCTTAAACACGAGAATAATGCTAAAGGGATGTTAAAAAAAATTACCTAGATGACACATATACTATCACTAATACCTCAATGAAATTGATGATTGAGAGAAAACTGCCAGAGACTAAATTTGATCCTGAGGATCCCACCACTTTCTTCAAAAGTTTTAAGAAAAACATCACTGACCTCAAAAACTCAGGTGAAATGGTTAGCGATGAAAACCATCTCGACTATTTATTGCAAACCCTTCCTGAGTCTATGTCTCATTTGCATGACATTGTCGATGCCTTGCCAGTTGCTCAGCGCAAAGCTGATTTTGTGAAAAAGAAGATAATGATCTCTTTCGAAAAGAAATCATGTGATTCCAGTCTAAAGCTAAGTGATAACTTTGAAGCCCTAAATCTCCAAGCCCACAAACCAAGCCAAGGGAACTCTAGTGGTAACCGTTCCTACAACTATGGTAGAAGTCGTGGATTCAGCAGAAGACCGTGGGTGCGAAGCAACAACTCTTGTCATCGCTGAGGTGGCACAGGACATTATGCCAACGTCTGTCCAAGCTACAGTAACGACCGAGGTGGTTTTTCTTCAAGAGGACATCCGAGCAACAATCGTGGTTCAAGAGATTCAGGCAACTTCAATCGTGGGCATGGAAGTTACCGTAGCAGAGGATACAACGCAAGAAGACCCAGCAGAGGAGCGTGGTCTTCACAAGTTCAGAAAAACTTCTCACACAGCAAGATAATATTCATAGAATTTTGGATATTCGAGGGTAAATGAATACCTTTCATACAATTTCCAAAGAATATGGATGGATATTCTATAAAGGATCATCAAGAATTTAAGAAGGCCAAGCAGCCTATTTTTTTAATATTCTGTGAAAATGTATTGAATATCCAAGATATTCTATGAATATATTCAATTTATGATGTTTCGTTAAATCCATTCATAAAACATTTTTACATTGATCGATCGATATTTTGTAAAAGGCTCTGAAAAGACGTACGTTTAATACATACTTGGAGCAGCCTCACACCAAAGTAAAATACCCGAGGCAATTCATCAGCGACACTCGCCGCACCACGGGCTGCACCGCTATGTAATTATTGGTAGGGACAATTAGAGTTGCATCCACAAGGAATAAAGGCGTTTTTCTCGTTCACTATAAATGATGCTGCAACGGTTACCGAGAGCAGTTTGAAGTTGCTGTTGTACTAATTGGGCAGATTGAACAAGAATCAGCCTAACTTACTCCATCAGATATTGCTAAATTTCTTTTTGTGTTTTATTTTTTTAACGGACATTACTGACAACTTCACGTCGGAGAAGATGCACTTTTCGATGGAATGATTGATGTAGAATTTTGAGGTTTAAATTGCAGATTAAGGACCTTGAGACCAGACTAGAAAATTTTAAGAGCCCCAATTCGCCTGATCCCTTTAAATTTCTCCAAGGAAAGAAAACATGGTTTTGTGAAATTTTCCTCCCTCTTTGCCAGCATTATTAATCGCACTTGCATCTAAGATCTTTTGTTTCTCTTGAATAATAATACTTGAGAATTTATTTCGAAAAACCCAATTGACGAGGGAGAAGGCAAACCATAAATACCTATGACTTAGCGTTTATTGTATTTTAACTTCAGGGAAAATGCCGATAGGTATGACCCAAACAACCTTAATCTAAGTCGGTGGCACGATCGTGCCGCCGAGTATCAGATATACTGTCCACTAGGGCTGGCAGGGGAGATCAGCCCCCATTCAAAAAATGCAAGTTCACTAAACTGACGCAAATACCCAAAAAAGGCGTTCTCGAGGGTAACTGACCCCAAAAACTCCGAATTTGAAGGTCCCGTCGTGCCCAGAGACAGACGAGGAAGGGAGGACTCCACGCCGGTTAAATTTACACGTTCAAGGTCTCCATGTGCCCCATCAGAGATGGCTCTGGGGGCGCCGGGGCCCTCCAATTCGGACTTTTTAAGGTCGGATACTTACAAAAAATTCTTTTCCCTAGCCTCGACGTCAGTTTGGCGAACTTGCATTTTTTGAATGGGGGCTTTGTCCCCCACTTTCAGCGATCAGCCATTTGGACACGAATGGACCACTTTTGGATTTCTTGGTGTCAATTTAGGTGATTATTTTCCGTACTTTCTGATTCCGATTAAATCATTTCAAAATGTTGACCTTAACTCCGGCTGCTGAAGGCCGAAAGCGGTTAGGTTTGAATCGGATCTGAGGGCGCTCCGGGACCATGAAATTCGTATTCCTCGGGGTCGATTCTCTATTTGGCCCTTCGATCCTGGATCGAGAAAAAGGCCGGGTGCGGTAGGTGTGGGCAACCCTTTGTAAATCTGCTTAGGTACTCTTGTATCAATGCCGAGCCAACAAAAGAAATTCTGAGCTCCATGAAAATTTGATGGAAACGGACCGGCTTCTATTAAGTTGCATGGAAATTGTGAATTTCACGTCGAGTTTACAAGGAAATGTTTTCATTTTCATTAAAATTTGATGGAAATGACCAATATTCCGTTTGAGTTCCATGGAAACATTGTGATTTCCATGTCGGAGGACATGCACGTTCATGGAATCACATGGGAATCGAGTTATTTTCGTGTGAATTCACATTGAACATTTTTAGCAGGGTGAAGCTTGTGTTGAGGAATCTTACGAAAATTCACAGACACATTTAAAAATTGGCTCGACAGTTATAGAAATCCCGATCTAAACGACGTCAGCGAGAGATTCTCATTTTCTAATAGTTTTAGATTAAACAAACAGCCAGACCGAAAACAAAGTTCTCTCCAGCGGCCCGATTATTGAAACTATGTCGGTCCGACACGACAAGACATAGCCCTATCTTAACCATGCAATATATCGCAATTCGATGTCTTATCGGGTTGCTTAAAACTTTCAATAATCGACCCGCAGTTGATCACTGGGAACACAAAACTTAACAAAATCTAATAACAGGAATTCGCCTTAAGTAGGCACTCTAGCTTATATCACCTCATCTCTCTTAGATGAACAAAGAAATAGGAGGAGCGAATCAGAACTTACTAGCTCTCCAAAATATAATAGCCCGCTATGTTTAACGAAGAGGCTGCGCGCGTAGCCTGACATTGACATTTTGATGGAATATTTTGATCGTGTGCCATTAGCTTCGGACGAGAATGGCCAAAATCTATTGCGCCTGCGCGGGGAAACTCGAGGTGACTGCACGGAAGTCAAGTACTCTCCTCGATTTTCCAGGATACCCTGTTCGGGTGCCTCCCCCCCCCCCCCCCCCNCACCCGCCCCATTTATAAGTAATTAATCACTCAACCGCATAATCAGTGAGTCCTATCTCGTCAAATTGACAACCAGAATAGTGCGACAAGTGGGCCCTCGATCTAGGTGCAACAGGAGTGTTCATTTTCGTCCGATTCATACACTTTCACTACACTGCATAGGTAAGCAGAAATCATTCGGTTTTCTTTCTTTTTTTTTGGAGGGAGGTAGGGTTGATTTCTGTACCAACTAACTGCTAACTGATCTACGTTGATGGTCACCTTGCCCTTCTACGCAGGACAAGATTCTGTAAGATAAAGCTGGCCCATCACCACCATTTGGGATTGTTGAGTGACCTCTGATTTTCCCAAGAAAGTTTCATTTTTTATTCTGTTTCCAATGATTTATCACTCAATTGATGTTGTCAAAATTGAAAAGTTTTTTTTTTGGGGGGGGGGGGGAACTAGGAAAATGAGTCCATGCTCCCCCCCCCCCCCAACAAATCTACTTAGTCTCTCCGAAGAAGTATGAAGAATTTTGCTTGGTAAGAGAGTGAAATTTTCATTGTGGAAATTGTAATTAGAACAAGTTTCTGCTGAGAACAGGTAAAATTGCTCCTGAAATGGATCAATTTTTCAAAATTTAAAAGGGGACCGGAAAATTTCCCAGTGCAGGTAAAGAATTTTCCCACATTCCTCTTTAGGATCTGGTGGAGTCCTGCAGACCCGAAGTAGAGGGGTGTCTTTTTATATCCCGTTATGTCCCCCTTGATAAGGTGCCCTTCTGCCCCGTTCCCCACGATGACTTTGTAGTTCCGCCCACCAGGGCACATCGTTCGCTTTATTTGGACCTTTTGTCCAACCATACAACTCAATAGCGTTTAATAGAGAATTCATCGATTAGTGAATGAAACACGCTGGTGCATTCGGTAACACATAAGTATACGAGGTCTGTTCAATAAGTTTCAGGAATTTTGCGATAAAAATCGGAAAAATGGTCCGAATTTGATTTCCTTGGTATCAATACAAATTCAAAAGATATACAAAAACACTGCTTTTTACAGAAATGAAAATATTTATTGGTTCTCAAGTTACAGCAGCCTAAAAAGACTGACTCAAAGCAACGCCGTGATTTTTAAGATCCAGGAATCGGTTATTTTTTTTTTGGTCGCCAAAATGTTGTAATTTTTTGCTCGGACGATCATATAAAAAAGAAAAAATTATGACAAATAAATTTTGAAGAATAACCTGATATTTGTGTCCCTTTACAGCTTATCTTTTTCAAAATACTGGCCTTGACTGACGATGGATTTCCGCCAACGATCCGCAAAATCACGGAAGGCTTTTTGAAAACTTTCCGAATTGGTGTGCCGCAACGTTCGATCGTGTTCATTTGAACGTCCTCCAAAGATTCAAACTTTGACCTTTCAAAGGTAGCTTCAGTTTTGGGAACAAAAAACTCGGAGAGTTTTCAAGAAGCCTTCCGTGATTTGGCGGATCATTGGCGGAAATGCATCGTCAGTCAAGGCCAGTATTTTGAAAAGGATAAGCTGTAAAGGGACGCAAATATCAGGTTATTCTTCAAAAATTTGTCAATATCTTTTCTTTTTCATATGATCGTCGGAGCAAAAAATTACAACATTTTGGCGACCAAAAGAAATAACTGATTTCCGAATCCTAAAAATCGCGGAGCGGCTTTGAGTCTACCACTTTAGGCTGATATAACTTGAGAACCAATAAAAATGTTTCGTTTCTGTATAAAGCAGTGTTTTTGTATTTCTTTTGAATTTTTATTGATACCAAGAAAATCAAATTCGGACCATTTTTCCGATTTTTATCGCAAAATTCCTAAAACTTATTGAACAGACCTCGTGTTAATGTGGTGGGGTAAATCGGGAGCGTTCATAAATTACGTAACGCTCTGGGGGGAGGGGTACGAGCTAAAGTTACGTTTGGGGGGGGGGGGGGNGGGGGGGGGGAGGTCAGTTTCAGCGTTACCTACGTAATCCTCTCTATTGGTAAAATAAACACACGAAATCCAAAATGTATCATCCTCATTTATTACACGTTATTGGTCACACAATCATTAAAAATGTTTCATATATTATCCAGCTAAAAGTTCCACAATTTTTGGGAATCTAAGGCGCGGGGGCATTCAGCGTTACGTAATTATTATGGGGGGTACGGAATTTTGTGAAGTGTTACACAGGGAAAACGGGGGTTGAAAATTCCGAAAAAGTGCATTACGTAATAACTATGAACGCTCCCTACAGCCTACAATGAGAGAGATACAGAACGGCATGCACATGAGCAGAGGTTCCGGGCGTGCGCTGACGCTGCGGGTAACACCACAGTAAAGACATTTTGCGAAACTGCTGTGGCAGCATCCGCATTCTTCTTCGCTTGCCGCATGCCAAGCAAAAGCTTGGCAGCCAGAGCCGAAACACATGGCACGAAAGTTTGCGGCTTAGGGAGCCGCACGTTTAAACTGCCGGAATATGTAGCCAAAAGGTAGTAGAAAAGATCCCCTGCTCCTAAAGGGGACGAATTCAAAAACCGTGAACAATAGAACGTAGCCTTCGCACTACGGTGCGGCTTGTTCGTATGTTCCACAAAAAGTCTATAAAGTTATTCTCCCCGGTTTCCAATTGACGCCGAAGCACGAAGAAACAATTCCTGCAAAATTTCAGCTCGATCGGACCATTTTTAGAAGTCCCACAAAAACAGTCTTTTTCAAAGAAATTGTGATTAGCGGATTTTCATTATTGAATAACTGCCTACAACATGAAAAATAACTTTGGAAACATTTTTTCACTTGGAAGTTGATTCTTTGAGTGGTTACTTTGTTGCAGGGACTGCAATGTCACGACAGTCTGATGCGCGCCCACAACGGATATCGACAGCGCAGAACAAGACGCTGCACCTGACCGGGATCGGGCTGGCTGTTCAGGCGTTCTACATAAACCTTACCTTGGATTCAGTGCTCGGGGGTGACTATATCGAGGTTCGCCCAGCAGGGCCTCCTCTCATTAATCCTCCTGGCGTATGGGGAGTCAATGGGGTGAATAGCGGGAGCGTGGGCTACAATCCGGTCAATCCCGTCAGTGCCGGCTACACCACCAATGCGGGCAACATTGCTCTCAACGGACTCCGCGCTGCCCACTCCTACGGCGACGCAGGACACAGCCAACACGGATACAGGGATGCCAACGGCTACTGGCACGACAATTCGGGAATGAAGAATGGCTACGACGTCGGACATGCTTATGGAGGTCATATACCATGAGCACTCAATATCCTTTTTGCTGAGTGGGATTTTAAGCCAAATGGCGCTCTCGCATGTGTCAGCGCTATGCGATTCAAGTGCCATTCCTAATTTAAAATTTTGCTAGAAACACGATGGTGCCAATAGCTTTCTCTGAAACTAGAGTACCTTTATAGACAGAGTATGGCCATTCGTATCTTTTTACTACAGGAAAACTGTTCCGCTTTTTGATTGGTCAACGAGTTTTTAGGCTTCATGATGCTTTTAGGGCCGTAAATAAACAAACAAGATGGCGGCTCACCGTAACATCGATAAGAAGCTAAATTTGACAAAAATGTCAATTATACATCAGTAACATTTTAAACTAGCATATCTACGAATAACACACGAAAAACACATTAAAACATTGTTAAATCGCCTTTCACCTTTATCACAGGAGGATGTAAGATGTGCATAACCTCAATCTTGCTTGCTGATAACAGCCATCTTGTTTGTTTACTTACGACCCTAAGAGCATCGTGTCAGCCTATTCGCTCGCGACCAATGAAAAACCGGAACAGAAATGGCCATACTCTGTCTATAAAGGTACTCTATCTGAAACCAACTCCGAAGCTTAAAAAATCTCTCAAAGTTGAGACCCTAATAGAGAAGATCCCTTGCGCTAAGCTGAGAGTCCACCTCTACATCCAGTCAAACTCTCCGTAAAGTAAATGAGGTCCCTTCATACTGAGAGTTAGGTCATCCCTTTCCTGGTGGTTCCCGCATTTTAAGCTTCCACAGCGTTACAACCCGGAAAAAGATTACATTTTCACCAATTGCAAACATTAAAAAATTAGGGTCATCCGGGGAATCAAGAGTACGTCAGGGAACAACCAGACTGAGAGAAGGAACGGCGGAGAGAAATCTGGGAATGAGTCAATCGAAGTTTACGAAAAATGCTCACATTGTGTAATCTTTATTCCGGTTTGTGACATCCATAAACCGACTTGTTCAAGATCCATCCGTATAGGTCAGTCATTCCGCAGATTTCCCCCGCTCGGGGTAAGCCCCATCCATTGGCTCAGTTGGCTCGTGACGTCAGCATTACTGCCGCGAAAGCGATAAAGCACGGATACAATGCTTTTCTTATGGGAGAAAGCAAATTTTTCTAAATGAATCATTTAAATTTCTTACTTTTAAATCCTTTGAAACTTTCTGAGTGTCGAAAGGAACGTTTAGACATTAGCATTGAGGGTTTCGATTTTGCCGAATTTGTGTTCTTTCATTTTTACAGTTTACTCTGCATCAGCCATATTTACACGCGAGTCTATACCACTAGATGGCTTGTTACATCGCTGACTACAAAAATCATTTAAAAATATAAAAACGCAAATTCAGCTGAATTGAAACCCTGGACGCTAATGTCTAAACGTTCCTTTCGACGATCAGAAAGTTTCAAACGATTTAAAAGTAAGAAATTTAAATGATTCATTAAGAAAAATTTGTTCTCTCCCATAAGAAAAGCATTGCTTCCGACTTTTCTGGTTTTCGCGGCAGTAATGCTGACGTCATGCGCAGAAGATTCTCATTTCGGTTTCGGGAATGACTGACCTATATGGATGGATCTTGGACTTGTTTTAACTCTCTCTATTCTTGATCGGGGACTTCAAAACTGGAACCACGGCAACCTTGCTAATGTATTTGCTCAGTGTCTGTTCATGGTGAGTTCGAGTAGATACAGCGGTGGACTCTCAGCGTAGCGTGGAGGATCCCCTCCATTGCGGCCTCAACTTCAGGCGCTTCTTCGGAACTTGGGCGTTTCAGAACCAATAGCACCATCGTGTATTTCGCGAAGTTTTAAGAGAAAAAATGTATTTATACTGCAAATCTCTGACTCATGAAGCTCCATTCAGACTTTTCGTCCAAAAGTTTAATCGAAAATTTGGGGTTTTGGTACATTTTTTCTTCCGCTTGTGTTGAGAAAATGGAAAGTTCAATTTTGTGATACTGCCACGAGAACACAACAATCTAATGAAAAGTTGAACGGAAACTTGAATGTGACGTCACTTTTAACTTTCCATCCAATGGGCCACTAGGCAAAATATGAATTAAGGCACTGCGTAACATGTTTCCTCTTCAAAATTTCGCGAGAAAAACGAATCACACGACGTAACGTCTGGAAAGCATCTCCTGAACAATATATACGTGTTTATGATAAACGTAAGTTTAATCGCAAAAATTCATACGACGTCATGTGTATACTTAACTCCAATTTCACCGCTCAACATGGGCTCTGTCCTACGAACCAAACCAATTTTTTTCGATTCCTAGGTGATATAGGAGTCTGAAAATGCCCATAATAACTTCAGGAAAGTTGGCTGGTGCTCAGGGCGCCGCCATTTTGATTTTTCCAAAATTGAGAAAACCCACGATCAGTTTTTTGTAAATATCTCCTCAACGGTTAATATTACGAAAAGAACAAACAAACAAAAAAAAACAGCAGAAAGAACATAAAATTTCCTAACAAAATCACCCTCCTCTGTTTTTTCTAGCTTAACTTTTTGGTCGTAAAATTAGCGTTTTCTTCCAAAATTAGCTTAAAAAAGGCGTATTTTTGCTGATTTTAGGAGAAATTTTGCTTCACATCTCCAGCCACGATTATCTGAAAAAAAACCATTATGCTCATTAAAAAGAGCGTAAAATTTACTTCTAGAAAACGTACGTCAATAGTTCCTAAACTTGATTCAACCCTGTGAAATAGCAGTTTATTAGCTCCGCCCTTAAATTGTGATTTTGCCGACCATCTCCCTAAAAATGAAGAAAAAAAGAAGAAAAAACCCTTAAAAACGTGGCCCAAACTGTGTAACAAGGTGGTAAAATAGTGCTGGACCCACACTATTTTTTATTGGGGGGGGGGGCGGCAAAGCCATAAAGTTCCAAAATTTTCAATTAGATCCCAAAATTTTGAGCTCTAATGAGGATCAGTACAAAACTTACCGTGTTGCAGTACAAAACTTGTACTTCCAACTTGTGCTTTGATGCCGTCTTGGATTTTGCAATCTTTTCAGTTCGGTTCACTGACGAGCGTGATCTACTGATGAGGTATGAAAGGATCCAAAATTATAGATCTCTCGACGTGACCTCAACTTAATAGTCCGATGCAAACTGCCTGAGCTGAACACTCTCCCCCATCAGTTTTGTACTGATCCTCATTAGAGCTCAAAATTTTTAGAACTGATTGAAAATTTTGGAACTTTATGGCTTTGCCCCCCCCCCCCTAAAAAAATAGTGTGGGCCCAGCACTATTATACCACCTTGTTACACAGTTTGGGCCACGTTTTTAGGGTTTTTTCTTCTTTTCTTCTTCATTGTAAGGGAGATGGTCCGCAAAATCACAATGTAAGGGCGGAGCTAATAAACTGCTGTTTCACAGGGTTGAATCAAGTTTAAGAACTATTTACGTACGTTTTCAAGAAAAAAATTTTACGCTCTTTTTAATAAGCATAACCGTTTTTTCTCAGATAATCGCGGCTGGAGATATGAAGCAAAGTTTCTCCTAAAATCAGCAAAAATACGCCTTTTTTAAAGCTAATTGTGGAAGAAAACGTTAATTTTACGACCAAAAAGTTAAGCTAGAAAAAACAGAGGAGAGTGATTTTGTTAGGAAATTTTATGTTCTTTCTGTTGTTTTTTTTTTTTGTTTTTTTGTTTGTTCTTTTCGTAAGATTAACCGTTGAGGAGATATTTAGAAAAAACTGATCGTGGGTTTTCTCAATTTTGGAAAAATCAAAATGGCGGCGCCCTGAGCACCAGCCAACTTTCCTGAAGTTATTATGGGCTTTTTCGGACTTCTATATCACATAGGAATCGAAAAAATTAGTTTGGTTCGAAGGACGAACCAAAACCCGCAATTTATTGTGCTGTGATTTTGTCATACGTAAACTTATTGGTTAATACCTCGTTCAGGAATTGGTTTCAGAACTTACTGTCGTTTGAATAATTTTCTACGTAAGATTCTAAACAGGGAACATGAGACGTTCCTTGCCCTATTGTCCATTGGCGGCGCTGGAAAGTTTAACGGAAAGTTGTAACAAAATCTTCCGACCGACAAAAGCTGAAGGTATATGTTCGTGAATGGGACACCCCGAATTCCGATTGACGATATCAAATGGCGACGAGTCATGCACGTGTCAGGAATTTGCGACTTAGTTACTTCCTCCAAGAAAAATTCTCCGGGATAGAATTTTTAGGAAGATACGATGGTGTCACTGGTTTTCTCTGAATAGAACTCCCCAACTCAGAAAAAGCTCTCAAAGTTGTGACCGTGATGGAGGGGATCCCTCACAGTCCGCTTTGAGTCCTCTATATCTAATAAAATTCTCTAGGGACAAATAGAAGGAGAGCCCATTAGTAAGGTAGTCATTTTGTTTAGGGACTTCAAAGGTGGAACCACGGCAATCCTGCTAATGTATTTGCTCCCCGTTTGTTCATGGAGAGTTAAACTAGAGAGGTAGACTCACAGCGTACCGTGAGGGGTCTCCTTCATTGCGGTCAAAACCTTCAGGGTTTTTTTAAACTTGAAAGTTCGTTTCAAAGAAAATCAGTGACACCATCGTATCTCGCGAAATTTTACATAACTTAAATTACTTGAAGCACAAATTCCTGACACATGCCAGAGCTCCAGTGAATAAAATGTATTAGCGTGTTCGTCTTTTCATCCATGTTCAATGAGAAGTTTGACCGTCTGAATTGGACTCTAAGGGATGGGATCTCAAGAAGATGGATAAGCCTAAAATATCAACTAGGGCAACAAAATTGATTAACATGACATGAAAGAATGTATTTCAGCAGTATTTTGAAAGTGGATCTATGGAAGGAATTACAATGATTTGCCACGTCATAAAATAAAAAAATACGGAAGAAAAAATTATCCAATTTGACTGACGATGAACTAGAGGCGAGTTTACTTTGATCTCGGACTTTTTTTGCTTTCGTATTTTATACCTAATTTTATTTTGGTTTAAAAATCATTACAAAACCTTCAGGAGGACCTATTTTCAAAGTTTTACTGCTGAATTGTGTTAATGGTTGCCAAAAATAGTCCTGATTATGATGCTCTGTTAAGGCTCTTCTTGAACCTCTCTTAATTTTAATGTAAACCATTGGGCCTCCTACCAAGAAGATCTGTTTAAGGAGAAACTATAGGTTGGTCCATGCGCCGATCCCCTGGCCATTCATAATCAGCAACACAGCTTCCCCGCGCTAATCGTATTTTCACTGGGATGTCACCAAGAGCCCACCGCAGGCCCGACCAGCGTATTATTTTGAAGCTCCTGCTTGCTTCGTTGTTTGTCCCCGGAAAAGGTTGACCTAGTGTTTGTTATGCCATGCGACGCCACAGTCGTCGCTTGTACAGACGGTCGATAACGAAGAGAAAAGTGGATGTTCACCTCCTGACGAGAGTCGAGGTTACCTTATGTAACCCGTACCACTCAGTTATGCAGCTACTCGTAATAATTGAAGCAATTACAACAGTTGGTCGCCCGAGTTTTAAGTGTGAAATCAGGCCGTGACTGGCCTTGACCGTGAGTTTTCATGAACGCAGATCTCATAAGGGGGATTTCAGGATCTCTCGCTAACGAGACGGAAAGTATCCACGAGCCAAGATCAGCAGACAACGCTCTGAATACGCTTTTCACGGATCAAAAATCAAGAATCCTTCCCACTCATAACGTGATACATTTTTCGTATAAAACTCGTCGTGATTTTGATGCAATAAATCTAAATTTTCAATCATCAGGTTTAGTTTGAGGGTCGTCTTGCATCGTCATTTCATTTTTCCCCGTTTTTTCCTCACACAAAAGCTCGGAAATGAAGCTCTTGTGCGTGTCGAGAATTAGCGATTTCACTGCTAATTCCTACGTAAAATTTCGCAAAAAACACGATGGTGCCACTGGTTCTCCCTGAAATGAACTTTCAAACTCAAGAAAAGCTCTCGAAGTTGAGACCATCATGGAGGGGATACTCTACGTTATTCTGGGAGTCCACCTCTACATCAAGTCAAACTCTGGGTCGGCCAGGTTGGCCAGGCGGTCAGCGGGTCTGACACTAGACCAATAAGTCCCGGGTTTGAATCCTGGTGGTGGTGACAAATTTTCAGGGAACTGACGAGTGGATCTGCAGTCACAGACTCCATTCGGCCTTAATCCCTGATTATTTGAAAACATGGAGCATGGACGTGTACTAGCCCTGACCAGGTGCTAATTCGAGACTGCAGAATCCTCAAATGAATTAAAATTCTTAAATACCAACTCTTCCAGCAAAGAAAGGGAGCAAATATACATTAACAGGGTCAGTTGGAGGCCATTAATGGGGTTGTTTGGAGACTCCAAAACTAAAATCATGGCAACCATGCTAATGTATCTGATCCCTATCTTTACATGGAGAGTTTGACAAGATTTAGAAGTGGACTCTCAGGATACAGTGGGATATCCCCTCTTTTACGGCCTCAACTGAGAGAGCTTTTATTGCGCTTTGAAAGAGGTTGTTCCAAAAACGCCGATTTTGGCCCCCCCTGGATTTGGCCCAAACTTTGCTCAGATGTTGTACTAAGTGTCCCCGATGCTTGGGCAAAATTTCAGCCCCCTCGGATAATTAGGGGGGAGGGGGCAGGGGGGCAAAGTTGCAATTTTTTCAAAACCTTAAAAATCGATATCTCGCGAACGGTTTGAGTTAAGTTTTGCAGTTTACGCTAAAAAACGTTAAAAAATATTCTCTACACGAATATTGATGCTGTTTGCATGGTTGCGTAATTTATCGTAGTGATAAATCGATTTTTTCGATTTTGAAGGTTCGACTTTTTTTTCGTTTTTCGTCTCTCCTCTCCAGGCGATTGTTGCTATGTGAATAAAAACCAGTTGAGGTGATTCTCCATGAAATTCTGCATCTACCACACTTTGTTTGACCTTGGGGAAACGATTCATTCTTGAGTTATAGCGATTTTTCTGCGCGTTCCCGTGTTACGCGCGGGCGGCATATCGGCGGCGCTCCATCCCCCCCGGGCGAGACAGAGGTTGTTTCACTGCTAGGGCCTTATATTCATGCTGTAGGCTGTAATTATTGATATTTTCTCCTTCCCCCACCCTTCTCCTCCTATAGATATGTTATTTATACTTCGTTATACAGGGTGTCCCGGACCACCCGTACCAGGTCTTTTTCTCGGTTGGTTTAGGTAGTACGAAGAGGGGGACCGCGGGGTTAAACAGGGAATTGACCTCAAGGTATCCGAATTTCTCCGCATCTCGGAACTTTTCCTTCTGTAACTTTTGACTCCACCGAGTATCGACTCTGAAATTTTGCACACGCGTAGTCGAAGGTGTCATCAACATCTTGTGAAATTTTCAAAGAAATCAAAAGGTCCGGTTTTGTGTTATATAGTTTTGAATATTCAAATTTGCGCCAAAAGAAGTGTTGAGTTAAGTCCAATTTAGTTTTGTATTTCCGGAAAGTTCTTTCTTAGGGCTTTCCAACGACACCTAAACGGTTGATTTTGGATGAACCGTTTCAAAGTTACACATCAATAAAATGGTGGTATACCTCAAAAGAGGCCAACATTCGCGAACTTTCAGTGTTTAATAAAAGCTCAACAGATGGCCGAATCAAATGAGAATTTTGGATTATTACTAAACCGTGCAAGTACATTAAGTATGCCAAATTTCGTCAAATTCTGAAAGAGTCACTTCTTCAAAGTGACGCCAGTTGGCATGGAATGACCCAAAAGGGAATTTTTCTTAAATGCCTTCCATATTTTGACACTACAGGTAACAAAGATTACGGAGTAAGTTCAATAGCAGGAGGAGCTTACGGCGATGTGAATGGACGGAACAAAGGCCATCAGGTTGCAGGATTCAGCACGTCCTATTCAAAAAATGAATCTGGGAACAAGGCTACCTACTACGATGACGGTCTCGGCCACGGTGGAAGTGTGCAATACGGAGCTAAAGATCAAAGGTAATGTACTGGAGCTGTTGATGATATGCTGTTTTTAAAAGAGCATTTTCTCGCCCGCCAATCCGCCATGGCTAGCAAGGATAAGGTCAAAGAAATGGTTAAAAATGTGCACACTTCCGCCAATCCGCCATGGATAGCAAGGATAAGGTCAAAGTAATGGTTAAAAATGTGCACACTTATAAGTCGGCTAGGCTCACCTAGAGGTCAGTGTGTTCGGGTGTGCATTATTTTTTTATAAAATGCAAATTTTAAGTCGGTTAACCCTTCAAAAAATTCTATTCCGTGTACGAAAACACGTGTTCATTTAGGGAACAATTCTCAACAAAGAGCCTCCCAAAAAGAGGCCCCTTTTTTGAAACTCGGGGATTCCATTCGTATGCGGCTTAAATGAAACCTCATGATGAGACGAGCCTCCAGTAAAAATTTTAGCTTGAGTATACGTCTGATTTCCAAGATACAGCGTTGCAAAGTTTGCATATTTAAGCTTTAAAAATTCGCAAATTTTCAAATATCTTACTTTAAAAAACAACTACATCGGATATAATATATTATTTTGTGACATTTTACCTACAGTCAGTCTTATCTCTAAATCCATATTCCTATTGATACGGTAATACTGCTGATTCTCTTGATGCAACGTTGCAAAGTTGACTTCAAAGGCCTATAAAAATTGCTCACTTTTGTAAGTTTCTCAATGAAAAAACAAACTTATTGATCACCAAAATATCTGTATTTGGTGTTTAGATGCAACTTTATAATATGATAAGTCTTCCGTATAGGCCTTACCCCGAGCATAGACACAGATTTATTGATACAGCGTTGCTAAGTTTATACATTTGAGCTTTAAAATGTTTATATTTCTAAGTTCCACGTTTAAAAAGCGACTTTCGTGGATCTTCTTTAGAATTTGAAGCATGAAATCTACCAAATGTGTCATTTGTAGCTCTATGTTTGTATTTAAACAGGGATACTTTGATTGGTGGTGATACAGCGTTGCCAAGCTAACAACTTTAAACTCTCGAAAAGTAAATAAAACTTGTGAAAACACCTTGCGGCGTATCTGAAAAGCATTGGCGAGAAGCGGGACTAGCGACTTGAAGCGGCGGCTAAAAAAATACGCCTACCTTAGATTTGTCTATTCTTCATGTACAAGCAAAATGAACCCAATCCCAGGCTCCCCACTTCGTAGACTCCCCTTGTTAGCTAATGCCTCATCGTGGCTTTTGAGACATTTACAGACGGAGAGAACTCTTCAGAGCCGGATTTTGGGGGGAGGGGGGAGGGGCCAAGGTGCCATGGCACCGCGCGGCAAATTTTTGGGGGCGGCAAATTTCGGATTTTTTTTCATTGAAAAAAAAGAGAGGAAAAATGAGGGAAAAACTAAGTACTAGGCAGCGGCAGGGCACTGACTTCCATTTTGAATTGATTCCATCTCCGGGTGAGTCATCTCAATCCTCTCTGAAAATCATGGGCAACTTCAAGGCGGCAAATTTGCCGCTTAATAAGAAATTATTTCTTGACTCTCCGAGAAATTACACAGAATTTCACTTGTTCATGCTCTATGAACTATGAGGGAAGAGCCACCCCGTGCAGCGACTTCATTGCCTCGTATGGCTCGATTTTTAGCCTGACAGACCTTTCTTTGTCAAAACTATCAATTTTTGTTCGAGAAAAATTTGCAAGATGTGTACCCGAATATTTCCATTGTAATACATATACCTTTCCGTACCGGTGACCAATTGCTCGGCGGAGCGATCTTTCTGCGCTAAGGGGAGAGTGCACAAGTATCTAAGGATATATCAGTGACATTAGAGACTTGTAAATGTCGCGATGATGTCAATACATAGAGGAAAAAAAGGTGTTTGCATCTTGAGGATTATCTACCCCGTGACGTTGAGGTAGGCACAGGTAGGTACTCCAGCAAAATCCGGAATTCGCAGTAAGAAAAATTGATCATTATGTCCGATTTTTTTGCTTAAAGTAACTCGATAAATTCAAACACAATATACAGGGTTATCCAAAAGTCACCTACCACCTCTGTAACTTTTTTCCTAATTGAGATAGAAGTTTGAAACTCTGGGAATGTTCCTCGGTTTAAGGTAGCAACTTTTTGGTGCCCCCAAAATTTTGGGGTGCGGCCCCCCTCAGGGGGGGGCGAGGGCTAACTTTTTTTTCAAATAGCAACCCCCCTTTTGTGATGGTAAAAGGTCAAAATGCCCAAACAATAATGTCCAAACCCTGAATGCCCAAAAATCTAAATAGGCCAAATATCAGTAATGTCCAGCAGACAAATAAGTCCAAAAGTAGGCAAATGTCCATACGTGAGATTAGGCATTGGTTGAGTTGTTATTGGGTTTTTGGGTGAAGTTTTACAAGCTGTTTGTGAATGCAGCCATAGAAACAGATGCGTCGGATAATGGAGAGATGCAGGTTAGGAAAAAATGGTGATAAAATTGTTCATGAGAGCAGGCAAATTCTTATTTTTAAAAATGCATTAGTGGTTTATTTTCCAAATTTCAAGTGATATTGACAAACATAACAAACATGGCTAATATTACCCCGTTTGTCACGAAAAGCCAAAAAAAAAATTAAAAATGTATTCTTGTCCATAACAACTTCCTTTATCAACGTGGACACACAACCGTACATTCGCGTTGCGTAGAGCGATCGACTTGTGATGCACGGTGCTCGACCAATGCTGACATGACGGCGGTGCATATCAAAAGCGACGGAACGACAAAGCATTTGCATGCTCCCGACGTGGCAAATTTAGAAGTTAGACGATTTTTGGAAAAATTAAAGAAACATGCAACGACCCGACCGAATGAAGGCACCGCGCAACGAATATTGTCTCTGGATAATTAATTTGGACATTCGCCTACTTTTGGACTTACTTGTCTGCTGGACATTACTGATATTTGGCCTTTTCAGATTTTTAGGCATTCAGGGTTTGGACATTTTGACTTCTGGGCATTTTTTTTTGGACATTTTGACCTATCACCTTTGTGATATCGCATTCGAAAGATAATAAAAAAAGAGAATTTTTGGTGCCAACCGCAGGTCAAAATGTTGATTTTTGACTAAATGGCGGCCGGTCAAAGTTCAAAATGGCGGAAATTTGGCATCTCCGTTTTTTATCAGCGGATTGGTCTGAAACTCAGAATCCTAGGGGTTTTCGGGACGAGGATAACGATTCTGGCATTAGTTTTCCAGAAATGTACTGACCTTTTCAAAATGGAGGCGGTTAAAATGACGGTTTAGAGCGGGAAGTGGACATAGGCTGCTTATTGTCGGATTTGTATGAGACTTGGTAGCTGGGGGTATTTTGGCACGAGAAGAACGAATCTTTCATTGGATTTTTAAATTTTTTAAAAACTTAAAAATGGCGGCAAAAATGCGAATGGCGATGGTGGATGCAGATTTTCCGTTATTTTTCCGCCACCATTTTGACGATATTCAGTGTTTCAAAAATCTAATGAAAGATTAATTTTTTTCGAGCCAAAAACCACCAGAGTATTGACTTTTGTGCAAATCCATCGGTAAACAGCCGTGATATGGATTTTTCGTTATTTTTTCGCCGCCATTTTAAAGTTTTCAAAAATTCAAAAATCCAATGAAAGATTCGTTCTTCTCGTGCCAAAATACCTCCGGATACCAAGTCTCATACAAATCCAACGATAAGCAGCCTAAATATCCACTTCCCGCGCTAAGCCGCCATTTTAACCGCCGCCATTTTGAAAAGGATTGACATTTCCGGAAAACTAATACCAGAATCGTTTTTCTCGTCGCGAAAACCTCTAGGATTCTGAGTTTCAGACCAATCCGCCGATAAAAAACGTAAAGCCAAATTTCCGCCATTTTGAACGTTGACCGGCCGCCATTTAGTCAAAAATAAACATTTTGACCTGCGGTTTGCGCCAAAAAATTTCTTTTTTAATTATCTTTCGAATGAGGTATCACAAAAGGGGGGTTGCTATTTGAAAAACAAAAATTTTGTCCCCACCCCCCTGAGGGGGGCCGCCCCCCAAAATTTTGAGGGGACCAAAAAGTTGCTACCTTAAACCGAGGAACATTCCCAATGTTTCAAACTTCTATCTCAATTAGGAAAAAAGTTACAGGGGTGGTAGGTGACTTTTGGATAACCCTGTATAGAATTACTTTTTTCCATAAACTACAGCACTTCCGAGAAAATCTATGATAAAAATCGTCGCACCGACCTCCGTCATCAAAAAAGTCCAAGATGCCCGAAATGCAAACACCTCCTTTTTTTTCTCTATGATGTCAATGGAATTCGACATCACTATGCAACTGGATTTCGAGGACATAATAGAGAAGTTCGCGCATGCCAAAACGAGAAAGAAAAATTTCTAGAGCTTTCAATGCCTCGGTGAAACTGTATGCCCCTCAAATTTTCTCTCTCTTCTCAACTTAATCAATCCGTAAGTTTTTCGAAAACTGGAGTGAGTACATCGATGACTTAAGTGCGAAACCACGAATCTCCGTTTGCGACGTTCCAGACTTCCTGTGATAGTTTATTCATTCTATGAAAAAGTAGTCAACGTAATTTCTTGAAATTTTTTCCCTGTAAGCAGAATATTCTGTATGATTATGAATCTCAAACTTTAAAGTTTGCTTGTTTCTCTTTGGAAAAATAAAACAGAAGCGGAAATTCTAAAACATCGCGACGGAAATACGAGATTTTGCACTTTAGCATCAACATTTAATTTAATTTTTTACTATGTTCAATTTTCGCCTTTTTATAGTTCCTCAAATCAATCGTCCTTGAAGAATCATTTCCTCCTCCTTAAATATATGTTTGCAACACTTTCCTGCAAATAGATGCGCATTTTTCTGACAATCGGAAAATCAGATTTCTCTTCTGTCGTGTTTTCGAAACTGGCATCGCGTGTTTCTATGAGACATTACACAGTCCGGGAGGGGGGGGGGGGCAAAATTTTTCGGGCACCGGGCGGCAAAAACCTAAATCCGGCTCTAGAACTCTTCCTTTTGCTCTAGCAAAAAATTGCACCAGGACCACTGCCGTCTTAGTCCTTCCAGAGTAGAAAAACTGGGCATTCATTCGAAGTTCTCTTTCAGAAAATAATTGTGTGATGTGAGAAGAAGTCTCCAAAAAAAAAAAATACCCAGAAATTTCGGTGTGCATCAGCCGAGCCACGCGAAGCAAAGTGCCGCTTACACGAGTAAATGACCTTCATAACCACTTAAAAATGATCGTTTACAATGAAACGGTGGAAAATAGAGTATAATGGACGTAAATTTCGGCCAAAAGGCCGTAACTTTGCAGATTCTGTGGGGTTTCACTGTGCGTATCACTTTGTCGACCACCAATAACTGTGCGGCCGAAAGAGGTGCGCTGACACGGTAATGTTCCGCGGCCTAAAATGAGCATTCGGGGCTTTTCTGTCACATATACGTCAAAATGGACCAAATTTTCTCCCTGAGAACCGCAACTCGGCGTTTCCTGAGGGAAGAGACTCCTTGAACAACCCCAAACACGTATTTTAATCTTGCGCCCTTACATCCCCTTCGGCCGAGGGTAGAAATTTGTTGAGAATTTTTCCCTAAATGAACACGTGTTTTCGTACACGGGATAGAATTTTTTGAAGGGTTAACCTACTTAAAATTTGCATTTTCTAAAAAATAATGGACACCCAAAACGCACTGACCACTAGGCGAGCCTAGCCGACTTGTAAGTGTGCACATTTTTAACCATTACTTTGAGTTTAATCTGGATCCATTTGCAATTTGTAAAAATAAGGGACACCCTGTGGACTGCGTCTGGCTCTCGGTCTACAGGTCCAGGGTTTGATTCCCGGTAGTGGTGACAAAGGATTTTGCGTGGAATTCCGAGAAATTCGACGCCGATTTTTAAGAAAAAACGCTCAACCGAAAATCTTTCCTCCGGAGAACGACCACACTTTAAAAAAAAATTGTTGAGAATCATACATAATAAAGCGAATGTGCCTACTTCCTTCTGAGAATATCTCCCTTAGCTACGAGTATAGTTAGCGATTCAGTCACTGAAGTAAAGGATAACACTCTCATGTATTTGATAATTACAGGTTCCGCGACGGTGCCGGGAACACATTTGGAGGTGGATTCCATGATACGTCTCTAAAAACAAATGCCGGTGGGAACAGAAAACAGTACGGAGGAGCTGGTGGCTATGCAAACACAGGTCTTGCGCAAGGAGGCTATGGACAGAACCAGCTTTACGGGGCGGGTTCTGCAGGTGTGGGGTACAGCCTGAGTCATTTAAACCAAGGACCCAGTGTTACCACAGTGCCTCTTCTACCATTCTCGTCGAATATTATGCCAACAGTCGTTGCCCCTAGAATAGCCCCAAAAAATAAAGTATCAGGGTTGTACTTGGTACCTATCCCAAATAAATTATACAGTGATGGTGCAGGATCAAGTACGGCACCCAAATAGAGTCGGTGAATATAGTCACCTCTTCCTTGGCACAAAGGCAACCATTCTCCATGGTCGATCAGTTTATTCTTTTCTCTTGAAAATATCACATTACACCCAGATATCGTTTGTTTCAGAGCAAATGATGATCATCATAGAGACAGAAACCGAGATAATGTCGTAACGTTGGTTTGGACTAACAAGACAAGCAATCACTGCGCACTGCTTGCCTTAAGATTTTCTAAGAATGATGCAAATGAAACACGCATTAAATTGGTCGGAGAATCATCGCGATAAGAATGTGGGCAACACTTCAACAGCTTACGGCAGAACGACAACTTGACAACGGGAGAAAAATAAAAGAGGAAATCAGCAGACCGCTAAAAGAGCGAAACAAGCCAGAGGATCGAGCTTCCCTATACAGCATGAGCTCTATTCCGACGAGAAAAGTGACCTAAATTGGAGCTCTTGCACGTGTCCGAGATTTGAAATTCAACCCTAGTCCTCCCAAAGTTTTTTGTCTACAAAAATTCCGAAGACTTGGGAGTTATCAGAGTAGGTGTGATACATGTGATTTATTGCATTATTGCATATTGCATCTATTTTTTCGGTGAATAATAATAGCGATTCAGCCTAAATGCTTTTAAATATTTAAACTACATAAAATTAATCATATCTATGTTGACATAACATGAACATACCTACGTTTCGGCTAAATTTTTAAACATATTAAATTGTATCTAAGGTATGCCGACCACATGTGGCTATTTCGAACTCAACTGACAGGCAAATTAAATTGTTATGGAAGTACATGAATAAAAAGACCTTTCTACATTTCGGCCAAACGGCCTAAACTCGGAATCCTACAATTTTCATAGGGATGAGAGAGGATCCTCCCAGACTCCCGAAACTAGTCTTATTTTTGGCCCAACCCCCAGGGAAAACGGGGGAGAGGGGGTCAAAGTCAAGAGCTTTAAAGTAGCATAACTTCTCAACTCTCTCTCCCTCTCTATCTCCCTCCCTCTCCCCCTCTCTCCCTCTCTCTCTCCATCTCTCCCTCTCCCTCTCTCTCTGGTTTAAGGTTTAGAACAAGCTCAAGTTCATATTGGGGAAAAAATTAGAAGCGGAGTTATGAGTCTTCAAAGTTGACGCGACGCACGGGAACCTTGTATGTTCCGAGTCTCAAGGTCACCTCCGCCCCCTGGATTGCCCGCAGGTGGCGAGTTTTGGTTTTTTTACGCTTCTTTAGGTCGTTTTCTAAGTTAATTACCTATTCAATGAAAACGAACGAATCAGAATTTGTGAATTTTACACAATGGGCCTCTAGTGACACTCGCCACATTAACATTAAAACTTTTAAACTCCGTTTCAAATCGTTCTCTTAAGAATAACTGCGGCTTGTTTTGAAACTCAAGCTGTCTGCTTCTACGAGAATCTATTTTCCTTTAAAAAGTAACTTTCGTCAAGCGCTGCAGCTTTGCTCACTTACAAAACTTTAAAATCAGGGGTACTCTAAAAGTTGCCATCAATGGGTTATATTTTGGAATTGGATCAATTTTTACGCGGATCAAATGTGTATTTGAACTGAAAACGAATGGTTCCTTCTAAATTTTGATAGCAAAATCATCATCGTCAGCAAATTTTTGATGAGAAATGATGAACATAATGGTTAAAAATCAGAGCTCCCTCTCTCTCCTTCCGTTGAATTCACAAATTCTGATTCTTCCGTTTTCATTGAATAGGTAATTGACTTCAAAAACGACTCGCCACCTGCGGGCAATCCAGAAGGGCGCAGGTGACCTTGAAACTCGGAACATACAAGGCTCCCGCGCGTCGCGTCAACTTTGAAGACTCGGAATTCGAACACACCATCGCACGAATTGGTTACGACTGAATATCAACCCCGCTATCCACTGCACTGTGGTCTGGGAGCGCTAAATTGTGGCCAAAAGTCGATTAGCTTAAAGTCGGAAACTCCGGAAACTGACCATGATTCCGTTGCCAGGACTCTTTGCTGCGAGTAGTGACGTAAATTTGAACTTCTTAAGAGAAGCGGTTGATGAAATATCTCATCTAGAATGTAGGCATCTCTGTACGTGCCGATCCATTCCGAGGGGAATGTGCAAGTAGATGCAAAAGCAATTGTTTACTTTGGGTTTTGTGCGTTCTGCTCGACTTCAGTCATAGACAATCAGGCTAAAGGCTTCCTTAAACTTATACCAAATCAGTTTTTTTATTTTTCTTCGATACCTCCCTTGCCTTGTGTCGTTAAATTCGACACTTTTGGAGGGGGAGAATGATCAAAATTGAAATTTCACTCAAAGTTTTAGTTGTTAGAATTCTCTGCATATCCTCTAACGATCATAAAAGTTTTACCACATAAAAGACAAGAAGCATAACATAGGTAGCGGAAAGCTAAGATGTTATGCATGCTAGGAAAAATAAAAAGGATTTAAAAGTGCTAAAGTGCCTTCGTAAAGCAACTGTTATTTGTCTCATATTTATCTCTTTTTTACCACCTGTTTTTTTTTTTTTTTTTTTTTTTTTTTTTTTTTTTTTTTTTTTTTTTTTTTAACCAATTTTAAATAGCCTATTGGCTAATCGCACGCTTATTACGTAAGTCCCAGGTGACCATTGCCTGAGACCATTAAACTCAGATCTCCTGGCCAGGAATTGAACCCGGGACCTCTTGGTCATAGGGCCAGCGCTACAACCACTACACCACAGGAGGCTGACAAGAGGCCTATTCCTTGAAAGTTGTTCATTTCGAGAGGCCAGTCATGGTCTGATGATGATCCGTCTGTCTTTTCAATTGTTTTTTCTTCGTTTAATTTCACATATGCACTATTCTGTAAACCGAATCATGTATATATTTTTTGATGTTGTGTTCTGTTACTGTTATTTTGTCTTGTAATGTACGCTTGACTATACCTACACCCTGCAGATGGCTTTTAGCCGAACTGTACATCAGTGGTGTCAACATAGATATGATTGATTTTATGGAATAAAAGTATTTAAAGACATCTAGGCTTACTCATTCTTATAATTAATCACCAAAAATATATGCAATCTTTGAAGATTTTGTACAGCTGTATATGAAGAAATCGTTGGCAAATTAAAATTCCGACTATGGAAGAATGAACTTGCAGCCCGGTCTCCCAAGCTCAGGTTGGGAGGCCTACGGTTAAGTAATTTTTACAATGTGATATTTCACGAAAAACACGATGGTGCCGCAGGTTTTCTGTACAACAAACTTCCAAGCTCAAAAAAGCTCTATGAGTAGAGGCCGTAATGACGGGGATCTTCCACGCTACATACATAAGCATGGTAGCCATTTTGTTAGGAGATTCCAAGATTGGAATCGGGGTCAAACTGGAAGGGGGGGGGGGTTCGGAAAGATTCGGCAAGAAATAAGATCTTTTCAAATTTGAATGGCTACACCCGTTCTCCACAAAATCGCTCAGTGGTGCGATTTTAGGCAGCATTAAAAACAGTCATTCGTTGGATGAAAAAGTTTAAATTCAAAAGATAGGCCCCTCACTCATGATTTTTCTCATGAGGAGACAGCCGCACCCTGGATAGGTGGTTCGGAACTCTGGCAATTTTTCGACTAAAGTAGATAGTCCAATTAGTCCTGGAGCATATGTAGTCCCGTGGAACCGTTAGTGATACAAGTTGGCGAGATGGCTCAATCTCTTCGTTTTGATGTCCTAGAATAGAATTTTGATGTTGCCAGGCTCAATTTTTCCAGGAACACCCTTAAATTCAAGATGGCGCCCAAAATGGCCGCCACGGGGATGAAATCGGTGAAACTGACTCCCATGGTCGACATGTATGACGATTGCTGTTTATTTTTGGGCGAAAATTTCAAACATGTGCTTAAAAATGTACTCAGACCTCTTTAAGACCTTTAAATCCAAGATGGTGGCCGAATTTCCCCTCCTGAAAGTCAAACGTGTGCTCCTGTATGGCATAAAAGTAGTCTTTTATACCATTTTTTGGGCTGTAAAATCGAAAAATGATGTTAAAAATCTTTTGCAATTCAGTTAGGGGCACAAATTCCAAGATGGCGGCCAAAATTGCTGAAATTTTGGAGCCAAAAATTCTATAATAGCTTCTTATATCTTGTGACGTATCGAGCCGTCTAGATTTCCGGTCGTAGAATCCAAATCTTGAATTCAAAATGCACCCTGGCCCCTTGAGAAGTCCAAAATCCAAGATGGCCGCCGAAATTATCCCCTACAGAATCATACAGGGTGGGCCAGAAGTTCCAGGACGGTCGGCTAACTTTTTAACGGTTCGAGATAGAAAAATGAAACTATGGGAATGTTCCTATCTCAAAGGGGACTATCTTATGGGGGAGTCAAAATTTTGGTCCCCCTAAGGGAGGGGGCGGGGGCCCCCAACTTTTTTTTTTCAAATGGCAACCCCTATCTTGTGATACCTCATTCGAAAGATCATAAAAAACTAAGAATTTTGGCGCAAACCGCAGATCAATATCTTAATTTTTGACCGAGTTATGATACTGTCAAAGGTCAAATTTGACCTATTTTCAAAAAATCACAACTCCGGTTCAAATTATCGTAAAGACTAAAATAATACGGGAAAATTTACTAAATGTGTTCGCTTTTTTGTGAATATTGCAGAAATCACATCGAACTAATTTTAAGGGGGAGTTCGGACCCCCAAATACGCCAATTCAAAGGTCATTCAATTTCCCCTCGAAATAAGCCAATTTCCCCTAGATTTGCCTCCACATTATCTCAGTAAGGTCAAAATCTGTTCAACATTACGTTGGGCAAATCCCCAAATTTCAGGGAAAGTTAAAAAAAACCCAATTTAAACGGTCAAATTTAATTACCTTAAATTGCGTTTTATTAACTTTTCCTGAAATTTTGGGGACTTGCTCAACGTAATGTTGAACTGATTTTGACCTTACTGAGATAATGTGGAGGCAAATCTAGGGGAAATTGGCTTATTTCGAGGGGAAATTGAATGACCTTTGAATTGACGTATTTGGGGGTCCGAACTAATAGTAACAAATAAAAACCTAGATATACAAAACAGATAATATAGTAAAATTAAAGGAATTAACTTTATTAAAGTAGATAAAATAAGAAATCTAGTTCATTCAAGTTTACCACAGATTAAAATCAACCAAAAATGAAAAGGAAATAAACCCATCTTAACTATTAATCCCAGAGTCAAAATAAAACTACACATATAACCTAAGTTAAATATATAAAATAAGATAAATGTAAGTATGACTAAAGAAAAGATTACTTGAACTAAGTAATATCCTATCGTTGATTCCCTAGTTCTATATCCCTTTCCTGATACACATACCCCAACAAACATCACAAAACATACTTCTATTAAGTATCAAATTATTAATCAATTATTAATAGTCCACCTCATGACCCTAAATCACCTAATAAAATAAATCAATATAATTTTTGTGTATTTCAATAGATAAGAGATTTAAAATTATCTATAGTTGAAATATGAGTCCAATAGCTTTAGTTAGCTTACATATCTCTAGAAGTAACCTCAAAGTTACCCCCCCCCCCTTAAAATTAGTTCGAAGTGATTTCTGCAATTTTTATAAAAAAGCGAACACAATTTAGTAAATTTTCTCGTTTTATTTTTTTCTTTACGATAATTTGAACCGGAGTTGTGATTTTTTGAAAATAGGTCAAATTTGACCTTTGACAGTATTATAACTCGGTCAAAAATTAAGATATTGATCTGCGGTTTGCGCCAAAATTCTTAGTTTTTTATGGTCTTTCGAATGAGGTATCACAAGATAGGGGTTGCCATTTGAAAAAAAAAGT